TCGGTGGTGTTTTTGTTGTCGGTGGTGTTTTTGTTGTTGTTGTTGTTTATTTTTATTTTCGTTCGTTCTTCTTTATTAATATGCTTCGTTATTGGTTATTTTGTAATTTTAATCGAAATATTTTTTGAAAAAAAATTTAGTGGCTGTGAAAATTTTAAGAATGAAATTTAACAAATCGAACATTGATGACGGCTGGCTTAGTTCCGGAATCAAAGGCCATCAGCTCGAAGAAGTAGAAATCCTTCTCCTCCCTATCCAGCCCTCCCGTCACCACCAGCCTCACCTCCTTACCACCATCCAACTTCCAGAAGAGTTGAATCTCAAAATTTTTGAGCGGCGGATCCATGACGTACCTCGTGATCCCGTTAACTGGTGAGTCGTAATCTGTAGCCGACGGAAGCGGATAGAAGCTATTAGTAGCCACAGCTTCGTTTATATCCAGATTAAAATGGCCACTGTTTTTGGTAAGAAATCTAGGTTCGTTATCGTTGATATCGAGAATGGTGATTATGATCTTGATCATCATTATCATGAAGCGCGTCGGATGGACGACGATGACCGAGAAGTGAACTTGGCAGTCGACACGTTGGCGACAGAGTGAAGGTGAGTCCCTGTCTATTTGAGAAGAGGTAGTAATGACGCCTGTCCTGTGGTTGGTGTGGTGTGTGGTGTGTGTTGGTGTGCTGGTGTGTATGTGTCTTGCTGGATTGTTTGCTGTATAACATACTATTTTAATTTATAAAGTTGTTTGTGAAAACAACAACAACAAACCTAAACAAATAAACAAACCTAAACAACGACTATATAAATAAAACAGTGTTTACTACTTGGAATCGATATAGAAATATTCGACAGAGCCGGCAAACTTGAACTGCACAACTTCGAGTACATCCGAACTCTGATTGGTCATCAATCCGCTGCCCTCCATGACGTCACCAACAAATGTACCTGTGTGTATGTGCGTGTGTGTGTGCGCGCGTGTGTTTGTGTGTGTGAACGTGTATGTTTGTTGTCTATCTGTGTAAGAGCTGTGTGTCTTTGTGTTTGTGTGCACGCATTTGTACTTGCAATTGCTATTTTGAATTTTAACTTAAACATATCACTGATTAAATAATTAATTATTAATTGAATGGCAGTTTTAAAAACTTTCATGGCAAAAATACCGAAAAACAATTTGTATTGTATTCTCAATAGAAAATTAGTACAATACAAACCAATTGGTATTTCCTCTTGTATTTTGTAGTAAAGATGTTTAATCGCTTCTCTGCGTGATCTCTCTTGAGAGTGATGATGATGTTGGCGAAGAAGATGAGGATGAAGTTGCTGTAGTAGCTGCTGTTGCTGCTGCTGTTGAGAATGATGATGATGATGAAAAAGAGGAGGGGAGTAATCATAATATTGTTGCAACTGCTGAAGATGGTGAGGTAGCTGGAGATGATGAGGAAGAGAGTGAGGAAAAAGAAGAAGATGTTGATGAGGAGGAAGAGTTGAGAAAAAATGGCGATGATGATGGTGATGATTATTATGACTATGATGGTTAAAGTTTATTGATCTTGTTGTTAATGATTGTCGTGAAGATAGTAATGATGTTGTTGTGTTTGTTGGGTTTTTTGTTGTGTTTGATGTGTTTTTTGGAATGTTTGTTGTGTTTGTTGGAATTTTTGTTGTTGTTGTTGGTTTTATTGTGTTAGCTGTTGTTTTGTCTGATTTTGTAGTAGTACTTGCTCTAATTAATATATTTAACGTTGTTGTTGCTCTCTTTGATGTTGTTGTGTTTTTTGTTGTTGCTTCGGAAACATTTTTTGACGCTAATGATATGGTTTTTGATGTAAGTTTTGAAGTTAATGATGAGGATGTGTTTGATTTTGTTGGTGTCGTTGTTGTTAATTTTGGTATTAACGTAACTGATGTCATTGCTGTTGATGTTGTTAACATTGTTAATGTTGTTGCTGTTTTTGCTTCTGACGTGTTCTTTAGTGAACTATCTAATGATAATACCATTGGATGTGCTTCTAATGCTACATTCATTATCGATTTTGTTGTTGTTGCTGATGTTGTTGTTGTTCTAAATGTTGATGTTGTTGTTGATGTTGTTGTTGATGATGCTGATGTTGTTGATGTTGTTGTTGATGTTAACGTTGTTATTGTTGATAACGATGAGGATAATGATGATGATGATGATGATGATGGTGGTGGTGGTAATGATGGTAACGATGGTAATGATGATGATGATGAATTGTACAGTGACGTTGCAAATGTGCAATTACTAAATGAAGTTTTCCATTTTGACAAAGATGACGACGACGACGATGATGATAATGATGATGGTGGAAGCCCTGATAACAAAGATAATAAAAATAATGATCGGTGTAATGGTGATGGGGACGATGATGATGAGGTAGATGATGATGGTGATGATGACGATGATGAGGTAGATGATGATAATGATGTCGTCGTTAATTTTTGATGATGTTGAGGAATGGTTTCATCTATATGAAGATAATTTGCCGTCATTGTTCGGTTTACGAGTTTGTTGGCTCTCTGCTGAGTTTTACGCGGTTGTATATGTTGTCTTTGTTTTTTTGTACAATTATGTTGTTGTTGTTGTTTTTGTGTTAATTTTAGTTGTTGTAAGCTATCTAACTGAACTGTTCCTAAAAGTTGGAGATTGCTTTTGTTGCTAATCTTTCGTTGGTGAGTTGTTGTCGCTAGTGTTATTATTTTTGTTGTGTTGTTGGACAGTTGTTGATGTTGCCAAGTTGAAAATAAATGTTTCAACATGTTGCAGATGTTGTTTTGTTGGAGAAATAAAAGTGGATTAAGATTTATGCTGGTCAGTTTAGGTTTCGTTTCAAGTTTGTTTTTGTTTTTCAATAGCTCAGAAAAGTTTTTTTG